TACACACTCTCCTTGGAGAGAACAATCATGGGACAAAGAAGGGCTGTTTATGCACAAGGAGACAGCTCAGGAGACAGGGGTGCATGGAGGGATGGACACAGGGAAGAGGTGACTGTCAGGAGGAAATGGGAGGGGGCTGTTGCATTGTGGTGAGTTGTGGTCAATGTCCTGAGATAAAGTGTATGTGAACTGCTGAATGGAAAGTGAATTTGCTCTGTAAATTTTCACCCAAATCACAATAATAATAATAATAATAAAGCAAATAGTGCTGGTGAAACTGAATAATGGTTCAAAGACTTAAATGTCAAAGCTAAATATAAAGTTCCTGGAAGATAACATAGGGCTAAAACTAGGGGAGCTAATTTTTGGCATAAATAGCCTATCAAACAAAACTAAAAATGTATGAATGACACAAGATAAATTAGATAACTGGGACCTCCAAAGATGAAATACCTACACTCACCAAAGGACTTTATCAAGCGTGTAAAAAGAGAACCTACAGACTGGGTAAAAATCTTCAGCAAAGACATTTTCTGATGAGGGTCTCATCTCTAAAATATATAGAAAACTTCAACAACTTAACAACAACAACAAAACCAATCCAATTTAAAAAATGGGCAAAGAACATGAATAGACAATTCACCAAAGAGGACATTCAGGTGGCCCATAAATACATGAAAAGATGCTCACAGTCATTAGCCATTAGAGACACACAAATCAAAATGACTATGAGATGCCATCTCATCCCTGCAAAAATGGCAATGATTGAAAAAAAAATAGAAAATAACAAACGCTCTCAAGGTTGTGAGGGGATTGGAACTCATACATTGTTGGTGGAACTGTAACATGGTACAACCACTATGGAAAACAGTATGGTGCTTGCTCAAAAAGCTAGAAATAGAACTATCTTATGATGCAGCAATCCCACTTTCTGGTAAATATCCTGGTATATATACAAGAGCAGTGACATGAATAGACATATGCACACCTATGTTCATTGCAGCATTATTCACAATAGCAAAAAGATGGTAACAACGTTAAGTGTCCATCAGCAGAGGAATAAATAAACAAAATGTGGTATATACATGCAACGGAATGATTACACAGCTATAAAGAGTAATGGGGGATCAGTGAAAAATCTTAAGACATGGATGAATCTGAATTACATTATCCTGAGTGAAAAAAGGCAATCACAAAAGGACAAATATTGTGTGGTCTCAGTTTTGTAAGTCAAGAAAAGGTGTATGCACAGAAAGCAATGGTCTTTGATGATTACCAGGGATGGGAGGCGGAAGAAGTGGAGCTCACTTTCTAGATAGTAGGCACTTGTTATTTTTGATGATAGGAAAGGCACTACCCAGTATGGGTGAAGTCTGCACAACCTGTCCAAGGTTAATACATTAACAAGTATGCAAGGATAAGAGATAATAAAGACATTAAGAAGTATGCAAGGATAAGAGAGAATTTTGGTAAAACACTACTGCATAATATATAATTTTGCAACAACAATAATAATCAGTAAGACGTGTGTGGTTACATAGGTAGACGTGTATGCATATATGTGATGCACATGTATGATTATGTATAGGTGTATCTACAGGCATATGTATGTATGTGTTTATGTTCGCTGTAAATATATTCATATATACAGTAAACCTCATAGGGGACATACTTACAATACTACAATTGCCTCACATGGATGTGAGAGCTGGATAATGAATAAGGAAGACAGGAGAAGAATTGATGCTTTTGAGTTGTGCTGCTGGCAAAGAATGCTGAAAGTACCATGGACTGCTAAAAGAACTAGCAAATCTGTCCTGGAGGAAGTGGAGCTGGAATGCTCTCTGGAAGCGAGAATGGGCAAACTTTGTCTCACCTACTTTGTTGTCAGAAGGAACTATTCCCTGGAGAAGGATGTCGTGCTTGGTAAAGTGGAGAGTCAATGAATGGGGGAAGGCCCTCAACAAGATGGACCGACACAGTGGCAGTGGCGATGGGCTCAAGTATAGCAAGGATCGTGGAGCTGGTGCGGGACTGGGCGATGTTTCATTCTGCTGTGCATGGGGTCGCTATCAGTCAGAGACGACTCGATGGCACCTAACAACAACAACAACCAAGACACAGCCTAACACCTGTAGGATTGGTTTACTGGGTTTGAAGGCTTGGGACATACTTCATGGGACAACATGGTTAACCTGCATAACATAGTTTGCAGACAATGTTGTATTGTACATCCTAGATTGGGAAGCAGCAAGTGGGGTCTTAAAAGCTTGCGAGCAGCCATCTAAGATATAACTATTGGTCTCTTCTGTCTGGAGCAAAGGAGAGTGAAGGAAACCAGGGACGCAAGCACAGGTCTAATGGCCCATGAGAACCTCAGCTGCTTCCAGCCTGAGACCAGAAGAACTAGATGATGCCCAGCTAACTCTGCTGAGCTTCCTGAAATGGAACACAATAGAAGGTCCTGGTTAGAATGTGAGAAAAATGTAGAACAAAACTGAAGGAAAAAAAAAAAAAAGGCCAGACTTAACGGTCCCATAGAGACTAGAGGAACCCCTGAAACTATTACCCTAAGATACTCTTTGAATCTGGCATGTAAGCTGCTCCTGTTGGCCACCTTTCATCCCAATAATAGACTGGCTTGTAAGATAAACAATATCACCTGTGAATACTGTGATCCCTGACATTAATCAACTCTATGAGACCAAACAGTCAACATTTACCCTAAAACAAAGACGACAAGCTGAGGACAGTCAGGGAAGCTAGATTAATGGAAACAGGACACAAAGAATGGAAATAATGAGAATGTTGACACCTTGTGAAAAATGTAACCAATGTCATGGAACAAACTGTATAAAAATTGTTAAATGGGAACACGATTTGCTATGGAAACTTTTACCTAAAACACAGTATTTTAAAAACAGAGGATGGTGACACAGCGTGCAGAATGTGACCATCACTGGACTGTATTTGCAGAGCTTGTTGAAGGAGTGTATGACTGGCTGTGTATATTTTCACCAGAAATAAGAGAACTTTTTAAAAAGGAAAGGAATGAATCATTTGAGGCTCAGCAAACTTACTCGTCTGAGCTCACACAGCTATTGAGCGGCACAGCTGGCCTTCAAATCTAGGATTGTGTGATTCCTGAACATCACCCCTTCTAGGTAAGGAATGGAGAAGGGGGACAGTCACTGAGGCCCCAGTAGAAAACACTGAGCCCCAGGAGCATAGGAACCATGCTGGTTTTTTTTTTTTTTT